TGCCCTGGCCCAGCTCCATCCTGACCTCTCCTTCCCATCGCCACAGCCAAGGGCCCGGCTTGTGTGGCAGGAACTGGCTGTGTCTCCTCCTGGCCCTTCGCCCGCTCTTCACTTGTCCCTCCCCTCCTTCTCTCCCAGGAGCCTCCAGAATCTGTGAAATGGGTTTATTAATCGTGCTCACCTCAGGGGGGCCTTAGAGCATCTGGAACAGCGCAGCACGGAGGGAGGCTGTGCACGGCTTCAGCAAGGACACAGAGATGGGCACGTGGCCGTGTACTGAGTGCCCGCTGGGTGCCAGCCCCGGGCTCGGGGTTCAGGTTCTGAGGAGGCACGTCCCTGGCCTCAGGGAGCCGTGGTGCCCTCTGGGACATTCTCCTCCCTCTCCACACTCCCCGTCTCCCCTGGAGAATAATTCTGTTCGTCCACCCTTGGGTCACCCCCTGGAAGAGCAGTGTGCCCCTCACCCACGGCACCTCCTGCTGCCTCTTAGACTTTCCGAGGGTGCTGCCCCCTGCTCTCTGCGGCCTGCTTCTCACGCGGTTCCTCCAGGGTCCATGCCACGGGTCAATGGCCACTCCTCCCGCTCAGGGCTCCGGCCTCGGCCTTGTTCATCCCCTTCTCCTCTCACCCACCCCCAAGTTCCACTCCGTCAGCAAACCCTGTGCGCTCCAGTCAGACCTAGGCCACAGCCCCTGTCCCTAGTCCTTCCCCACAACCCTGTGCGAGCCCCACACCTGCTGCCCGGACCAGCCCACCAGTCCCACAGCCTCCTCACAGCCCTGCTTCGGCCCTGGGCTGCCGGCCCTTCACACCACACAGCCGGGGGGATGGTTTGGAAAGTCTCACAGTGTCATGTCTCTGCTCACACCTCCCAGTAACTTCTCTTCTCACTCAAATATTTGTCAAAGGGAAGAAGGAAGAAAGGAATGAGTGAGTGAATGGCCTTGTTCGCATCTATAGTACCTGGCACATAGTAGGTGCTCAGAAAACACCTGCAACAAGGACACACAGGACAGGGGTGAATGGGCGAGGACCTGGAGCACACAGTAGGTACACAGGAGCCTGGTGGGCTCCGTTGGCTGAGTTCCTGATTCTCGCTCCTGGTTTTGCTCCAGCAGAGCCCGCATGCCGCCAGCCCTCCGATCACTGGCTGGGCGGGAGGAGGGGCAGGCAGGCGGAGCCCACGCCATCTGGGGCCCTGGCCTGGCCTGTCTCGCTGTCCTGGGTGGGGCTGTTGACACGGGCTGCTGGTTCTGGGAATCCCGGCCTGTCAGCAGTTACGGGAAGGCAGCTGCCTCAGGGAGAAGTGTGTCCCTGGCCCCCGCCCCACCGTCCCGAGGCCCGAGGAAGCTCCGGGCTGGCCTACGACTGTGGAGTTTTAGGGACCAGTGGCTCCCCAGGGAGGCCACGGCAGCCTGAGTGTCGCTGGCTTCCTCCACAGGCCTCTTGTCATGGGACTGGCTGCATCCTGTCTGCCGATCCAGCCCCTTCGCGCTGGTTTGTGATTAGGAGTGAGGAGAGGGGCAAGAGGCCCGCACACCCTCTGGGCTCAGGAAGAGCCCCCTTGGTCACTTCCGGACGGTGCTGGCCGCTGACATTTCAGGACCCGCCACTCACCTGCCCCAGATAAATGTGAGTTAGATGGGCTTCTCCGCCAGGGCACTTCCCTCTGAGCCGGCTCAGGCTGGCGTTCCAGCCCAGCTCTGTGACCACAAGTGGTGCTCTCACCTCTCTGGGCCTCAGTTTCCTCATCTGTAAAGTGGGGTTTTAATGGCACCCACTTCATAGAATTGTGAGAACCAAGTTGGTTAATTAATACATGGTAAGCACTGAGAACAATACCGGGCACATGATAAACATTATGAATGCATCGCCATTGTTATGCACAAAAGCTTGGTAGAGACCCATGTCTAAAGGTAGATGACTGAATTTGTTATTGCTGAAGGTTAGCCAACCACTCATTTCACAGCTGTTTATTGAGCACATACTGGGCCCGTATCAGGCCCTGTTTAGGCCCTGGGGACAAGGCAATGCCCACGGCAGACCACAGCTCGGCCTCATGGGCTCGCATTCTCCTGTCCACGTGAAGAGAAAGGAATCGTTGAAGCGTCACAGGCCATCTTCTACGCTCCGCACTTCAGGACCCAGCAGCAGCATGAGGGGCTGTTTCATGTTGTGGCAACACCGAATGCTTCCTCGGTGACCCATTTATGTCCTTTGCCTATGTTTCTTAAAGGCTGTTTGTCTTGTTGATTTTGTAAGACCTTTTTATATATGATAGGCCATCAACCCTCCATTATGTGCATGACTACTTTTTTCTAGTCTTTTGCTTGCTTTCTGTTTCTTCTTTGGCGTGTTTTGATCTGAGGAAGTTGAAAATTGTTTGTAGTCAGATCATTCTATCTTTGCCATCTACCTCCTGAAATAAAACCAGCATTCATACGTGTAACCTCAGTGATACGATTAGAGATGGTGATAAGTAGACGGCAGATAGAAGCAGGTGCTGTGATAAGTACCAGGGGCAGCCCTGGTTACGTGATGGGTTTCTGGGTGCAAAGGCTGCACCGGACAGATTGGGAGTGTCAGGGCCCGTGGGATGCAAGACTTGTGGGGGACGGAGAGGGGGCAGTGGATGGGTGGCAGGGGCTTGAGGTTTCTTATTTCCTTAAACCTTTAATTTTGAGATAACTGTGGACTCACACGCAGGGGAAAGAGATAATACGGAGATCCCCGTACGCTCAGCTGCGCGCAGGTGACACCTTCCAGAACTGAGGTGGCGGCACGGCCACAGCCTTGTGCAGCTCGCCCCGCTGTCCTGCACTCGCTCGCATGCAGGCCTTTAGTTCTGTGCAGTTTTACCACACGCACAGCTGTGTCTCCATCCCCACAGGCAAGATGCCAAGCGGTCTGTCCTCACAGGGATCCCTCTCTGTGTTGCCTTTTATAGCCACACCGCCCTCCCTGCCTGCCTGTCCTCACTTAACCCACAGTAACCTGCGCTCCCTCTCCAGTGCTGCCATTTCGGGAACGTTACACACCGAAATGGTTATACGTGGAATCGGGCAGAGCGTCCTCTTGGATTGGCCGCTGTCGCTCCTGGGCCTTCACAGGTAGAGGACAGGCTGGGGTGACCCGGGTCTGTTTTAGTCCGCATCCCCTTATTCTCTCGGCCCCACTCTGGGCTGAGGAAGATCCTGCCACAACCCTGTTCAAAGACCCTCCCATCTGCTCATTGCCCAGAGGAGGGGCCTCTGACCTGGAGGCCTCCCTGGGCTCAGGGATCTGTGGACCCTAAAGTGGAAGGCAAAGCTAAGGGTCTGCACTTGTCTAGTAAGAGGGGTTGGAGTTTGCACCCATGTTCAGACGGGCCCTGCTCACATCCAGGCTGCCACACCGCGGCCAGGCCAGTCGCTAACACCGCTCTGTGCCTTGGTTCCTCCTCTGAAAATGGGACGATAATAGCACCCACTTCCTGGGGCTGTTTTGAGTGTTGAATGAATTAATATGACTAGCCCTAGCTGGTTTGGCTCAGTGGATAGAGCGTCAGCCTGCGGACTAAAGGGTCCCAGGTTCGATTCCCGCCAAGGGCACATGCCCAGATTGCATGTTTCTATCATTGATGTTTCTATCTATCTCTCTCCCTTCCTCTCTGAAATCAATAAAAAATATATATTAAAAAATTAATATGGCTAAATGGTAGAGGGATGTGGTAAATATCGCATGTTAAGTGAATGATGAGGCCGCGCAAGCAGGACGGCCAGCTCTTTCTGGCTCATTTCATTCATCTCGTTGGGTTTGGCCTGCGGTTCTGGGAGGAGAAGTTGAAGGCGTTGATACATTGGAGGGTGCCTTGGGCTCGGAAGCCAACAGACCTGGGTCCTGGCTCTAGCTCTGCCCTCTCATTAGCGGTGGGACCTGATGGGCAAGTTATTTGAGCTCTGGCCTCGGTTCCCTGGGGTGGAAAGTGGGGATCACAGCCCATCTCGCAGGGTCTCGGGCAGATCCCGTAAGGTCATGCTTCTACCGCACCTCACAAAGTGCCGAGCACAACGCGGGTACGTGACACGCAGGATATTATCTGCACGGTCCTTGGCTCCACACAAGGCAGCTGTTGCCAGTGGCCAGGCTCTGCGCAGCCACGGCCTGGGGGTGCGTGCCCTGTCCATGGAGGGGTGTGAGCAGACACTGCTCCGCAGCATGTCCGAGGTGGGTGTTTGCAGGGCTCCCTGTCCAGAGGCAGGCCACCCCTGAGACTCCGCCCAACTCCAGCAGGTCAGGATCGCTGACTGAGGGTGCGGACTGGAAGTTGTTTCCTCCTGCCACATGCTTGACCGGGAGGAAATTGCCACTTGGCAATTCTTGTTTTTAATCCTTTATTTACCTGCACCTGGGCCATGGTTTCCCTGAAATGCAACTCCCACATCCTGTGAAGCCCGCTGATAAGTGCCGTGTGCGCGCACATGCGTGTGTGTGTGTGTGTGCATGCATGTGTCAAAGATGCCACCCTGGCTGCGGTCAGGGTGCTGTTTCAGTCCACCCTCTTGGAGGCCCTTACCAGGACAGCCCTTCTGCGGTGTGGCCTCGGACAGGCATCTTCGCCTCCCTGTTTCTCTCGCACATGCGTGTGTGTGTGTGTGTGCATGCATGTGTCAAAGATGCCACCCTGGCTGCGGTCAGGGTGCTGTTTCAGTCCACCCTCTTGGAGGCCCTTACCAGGACAGCCCTTCTGCGGTGTGGCCTCGGACAGGCATCTTCGCCTCCCTGTTTCTCTTTATTCAG